TAGCCATTGGCTCAGTTACTGTTTGAACATTGTCTCGTGAGCATGGATATTAAAGAGCAAACAGTAAAACTTCCTATCGAAAATTTCGACGTCATCGTACGGGAAGATAAACTACCAAAGCATCATGGGGATTTACTTCCACTCGTAGTATCAAAGAAATTTTTTGTGGTCCATCTAATTGTGGTAAAACCAATAGTCTTTTTGCGTTAATTACTTATCCCAATGGCGTTAGATTCCAAAACGTTTACTTTTACACGAAATCTCTGAATCAACCAAAATATAAATTACTGGAAGAGATGCTGAAGCCTATAGACGGAGTGAATTATTTTTCCTTCAAAGAACATGAGTCAGTGATTGATCCCGAGCATGCATTACCCAATTTAATAATGATGTTCGATGACATCGCGTGCGAGAAGCAAGACAACCTGCGTGCTTTCTTTTGTATGGATAGACATAGAAATGTCTACTAGTAAGAGTTACTTGTAACAAAGCAGCCTGATAGAAGTATAATAACGCAAGATGATCTCAAGAGATATCGAGAATTTTTGGAAAAATCTAATGTTCATAGAAAAAGCATGAATCCAAATGAGCCTGTACGAGCAAATAATAGTCACAAATTTAATAACATCATTGGTCCATTATTGAATAAGACTAAAAAACCTAAGATAGAAGAGGAGGAATTGAAAATTGGTACATCTTTACCTAGTTATAAGGTTGCACGAAACATCAACAACATTAATACGAGTAGATTATGTGTATTGGGATGATCCAAATGAGCTTGTCGATTGTCTTTAATTACTTGTAGCTGAATAATCAGCAGGTAACAATAGTCATATAAACAAAATTCATTCGATAATTCAGGAACTACGCGAGGGTGGATATATATATATACAGGGTGTCTCAGACCACCCGTCCACCCCCAAAGTGTGCCGAAAAAGTTTTTTTTTCAAAAATTGATAACGCAATTATATATAAATGGAGTACACTCTATCGATTGGACGTAAAATCAACCTCCGGTTCCAACCGGAAATGGCCTATTCAGACCGGAAGTGCATGAAAATCCATTTTTGTAAATGGAACATGCATACTTTTTTTTCAGATTCAGATTCTACGGTAAAAAATACGAAAATTTCATAAGAAGAATTTTTTGAAAAAAGTTGATATTTGACCTCTAATTGACGTCTGAAGTCTGTAATCCACCAGTTCGTACTCAAGCTACGAAGATGCACGTTTTAGCAATGGAATAGGATAATTTGGCTCCTCTAAGAGGTTTTCAGGGTCACTGAGTCCGAATCCAATGTGAGTTTGATCTTATCAGGTCATTTTGAGGTCAATTCAAGGTCATTTAGAGGTAAAACAAAAAAAAATATTAGATTTATCAAGAATAAAGTACTTTTAAAATTTTAGCCTTAATATTTCAAAAATATGAATCTCGTCGTTTTTTTATTTATCCTTGTTATTATTAATCTATGTATTTACATAGCGTACTTTTATGAAATTAGGGGAAATGAAATTCCAAAACAAATTAGTTTAGCGAGATAAAAATCTTTATTCTCAAAACATAATAGATTTGGTTGTAGTAGCAACATTTGTTTATAATAACATAAATAATGATAATTTGTTTTATTAGAACCTAACATAATGAAAATTTTTATAACATAAATAGATTTTATCTTCTATTGTTCTGTAAATAAAATTTTTTTATAAATAACGCTGAAATAACTGTGCGTAAATAGACGGTGAAGATTTGACGAAAACTTTAATGTTCAAAATGCGCTCCGCCTTGAAAAATACATGCTTGAACTCTTCTTTGGAAATTATCAACAGCTCTTCTAATTTCTGCTGCCTGCAGCGACCGAATTGCATCCGTGATTCTGCCAATCATATTGGCTCTCGTTGTCGGATGTTCTTGGTAAACTATGTCCTTTACTCTTCCCCACAAATAGTAATCCAGGACAGTCAGATCTGGGGATCGAGGTGGATAATTGACAGGACCAAACCTTCCAATCCACATATTAGGGAACATACGATTCAAACTATTTCGGCAGATATGTGCCGTATGTGCAGGACATGCATCTTGCTGAAACCACATGTCACGCCGTAACTGCAGCGGGAGGTTTTCCAAGAGAATGGGTAACTCATTTTCAATGAGATTCACGTATCTGAACCGATTTAGATTTTCATTAAAAAAAATTGGACCTAATATTGGATTATCAATAATTCCGCCCCATACATTGACATACATTGACTTTCCAAACCCGCTGGTGATCTATAGTTCTCAACCAGTGGGGATTTTGTGGTCACCAATAACGACAATTCCACGTATTAACTTCTGCATCACTCTTGAAGGTACATTCATCCGAAAATAGAGCAGATCTGTGAAACTCATCTCTGGCGGATTGACCCAACAGGTGGATTGGAAGGTTTGGTCCTGTCAATTATCCACCTCGATCCCCAGAACTGACGGTCCTGGATTACCTACTATTTGTGGGGAAGAGTAAAGGACATAGTTTACCAAGAACGTCCGACAACGAGAGCCAATATGATTGGCAGAATCACGGATGCAATTCGGTCGCTGCAGGCAGCAAATATTAGAAGAGCTGTTGATAATTTCCAAAGAAGAGTTCAAGCATGTATTTTTCAAGGCGGAGCGTATTTTAAACATTAAAGTTTTCGTCAAATCTTCACCGTCTATTTTCGCACAGTTATTTCAGCGTTATTCATAAAAAAATTTTATTTACAGAACAATAGAAGATAAAATCTATCTATGTTATAAAAATTTTCATTATGTTAGGTTCTAATAAAACAAATTATCATTATTTATGTTATTATAAACAAATGTTGCTACTACAACCAAATCTATTATGTTTTGAGAATAAAGATTTTTATCTCGCTAAACTAATTTGTTTTGGAATTTCATTTCCCCTAATTTCATAAAAGTACGCTATGTAAATACATAGATTAATAATAACAAGGATAAATGAAAAAACGACGAGATTCATATTTTTGAAATATTAAGGCTAAAATTTTAAAAGTACTTTATTCTTGATAAATCTAATATTTTTTTTTGTTTTACCTCTAAATGACCTTGAATTGACCTCAAAATGACCTGATAAGATCAAACTCACCTTGGATTCGGACTCAGTGACCCTGAAAACCTCTTAGAGGAGCCAAATTATCCTATTCCATTGCTAAAACGTGCATCTTCGTAGCTTGAGTACGAACTGGTGGATTACAGACTTCAGACGTCAATTAGAGGTCAAATATCAACTTTTTTCAAAAAATTCTTTTTATGAAATTTTCGTATTTTTTATCGTAGAATCTGAATCTGAAAAAAAAGTATGCATGTTCCATTTAAAAAAATGGATTTTCATGCACTTCCGGTCTGAATAGACCTCTTCCGGTTGGAACCGGAGGTTGATTTTACGTCCAATCGATAGAGTGTACTCGATTTATATATAATTGCGTTATCAATTTTTGAAAAAAAAAACTTTTTCGGCACACTTTGGGGGTGGACGGGTGGTCTGAGACATTCATTATCAAAATGAGCGTTAACGTATTCGGACCTAAACTTAGACATCGAGCTAACGACCGTTGTGGTCCACCAAGTCTTGGATTCAAGCTCACGTGAAAAGGTTATTTCGATCTGGAAAATAAAAGATTAGAGAATGTTGCTCCACCACTAAATTCTGACGATGTAGTTAATTTGCAAACTGTTCAACGTATCGTTCACTCGGAAGTAAAAACTGTTACAGATACCATCATAGCATACTTGAAAAGTAATCTGAGTAACTTAGTTGAAATAAATAAATCAGTGATAAAAATAGATACTCAAAATAGAGAAGTAGACGTGTCGTCCGCCTATGGAGTATCAAAAAGTGGTGGAAGAGCTTCACAAACCAGCCAGACGTAATTATCCACGATGCAAGTACGATATTCGAGAAATAGACGAGACCTGGCAGGCCGATCTTACCTGTATGCAGACTTATTCTAGAGAAAATCGCGGCTACAATTGGCATCTTACGATAATCTATAATTTTTCAAAGCATGCGTGGATCGTGCCAGTGAAAAAAAAACCGGTAGTAATGTGGCAGCAGCAATGAAATCTGTTTTGGTGAAAGGTTGAGTACCAAATAATCTTCACACGAACAGAGGTAAAGAATTTTATAATGCAACTTTTGAAGCTCTCATGAAAAAATACAACATTAATCTCTACTCGACTTATAGTTCACTCAAAGCTTCAATATGTGAACGATTCAATTGTACGTTGAAAAATGCTATTTGGATAAAATTTAGTCTACGCGGCAATCACAAATGAGTAGATATACTACCAAAGCTCACTGCTGCTTACAACAATCGTAAACACAGAACGATTGGTATGAAACCTATTCAAGTGATAACAGTAAATCAAGCTCAAGTATTACGCAATTTTGCTCAAGAATGTACAACAAGGAGACCAAAGTTCAAAGTTGGCAATAAAGTGAGAGAGAGTAATGCAAAGCAAATGTTTGAAAAAGGATATACACCAAATTGGTCAACGGAAATATTTACAATTGTGCACGTGACACCAACAAATCCAACTACTTATCATTATCAATAAATCGAAATATCTCGATATATATCTAGTTAAAAAATGTATTAAAAGGTGCAATAATTGAGTATTTATAAAATGGCTACGATTCGATAATTCGCATAATAATTGGATAGATAAAAGTGAAATGTAGAAAAAAAAAGAAAGTTAGTCTAAACTTATGTATGTAGATTCAAGGGTAAATAAATAAACATTTAATGTAGAAATATGATTGGAGTATTTATTTATTAATAATAATAATGTATCTACGCGCTACTAAATTCTATACAGTTTCCTCCTAGATAACTTATAAAGAAATTAAGTTTATTGGTGTTGTCCATCAAATTGTCCATCAATTTTTGATTTTGTATAATTGCATTCGACAGGTTGGATGACAGAAACAGTTGAAATTCCTCGTCAATCTCAATAATTAATTTGTCACCAAATCGTGTTGAACTGGCTTTAGTTTGGTGATCATATCTTTGCAGCCTTTCGTCAATTCACTAACTTTTTTGGTGAGCTTAAATTCACTACGTGCAATAATATTAAGTTGAGTAATATTCATCTGTAAAAGAAAGAAATTAGTAATAACGATACAACTTGTAGAAAGAAAAAAAAATGACTTGTAGAATATTTTGTATTTACAAAAGGTGAAATAATTTTTTTCTTTTTGTCTTTCAATCACTAAACTTTGAAATTTTAGCGACAAATCTAGCTTCTAGTAACTTCCTTTTCCTTGACGTAATTTGACACAAAATATAATCAGAAGAAGCAGACTATTACTGCTCACTGGTTGCTGCTGCTGCTGCTGCTATTGTCGACTACTTTTTCTCGACGAGAATGAGCTTCGCAGTCCGAGGTTGCGATTGATGTAACGTTTCTCCCAACCCATTCTCTGCTTCCTTCTCCAAATTCGCCGGCGGCTCGTTAACGGTGACCAATGCTGGAGTAATGGCGGCGGCGGCGGCGGCGATTGACGGCTCGACGGTGGCGACTGGGACGGCAGCTGGGGGCTTAATTGAGACCATTTCCAATGCTTCTATCCCTTCTCTCTCCACCAATGAAATACCGTAGTGACCCCAAGGAAGCGTATAGGTGTTACCAGGAAGCAAGAATCGATTATCAACATGCGCACTGAGCGCGACCTTTGTCTGCCTCTCGCTGTATAACTCATGATGGCGAGATCTGATGATCTTCAATGACGATACATAGTCATAGGGAAAAACACCTTTTCTCTTCAATAAAGCGATATGCTGCATGGTATAATCTGTCTTTTTGTTGGAAGTGACGCTCTAGAATATCATGTTTTTCCAAGTACGATGATAGTTAGTCGAGAGATAAAGCCATAAATCGAAATGAATCAACGAATCGTAGATTAACGTCACTACCTGCCACATATTTAGTAAAAGATATATATTTTTCCTTCGTTTGAGGAAGAAGACTCGACGTGGGAACTCATTCGCAATTTCTTTAATGAATAGGTGTGCATTGTAGGTGATCAAGTAATATTATTTTAACGGAAAAAGAAATTTTATTTGTCAAAAAAAAATTGTGGGGGTAATGAGTGATTGCATGCCGTATATAAAAGGCGCTGATTCAAGTGTTCAATGTTTAATCAGTCAAGATGGAGTTTGTCGTAGACGTAGGCTTCAAGACTTCCCTGAATGAAAAATTCTTATGTTTTCACTCCTGATATTTATATTTATATTTAATTTGATTGATATTTATATTTAATTTATTACTATATTTGATTTGAAATTATTCATTTTATATATTTAACAGATGTATACTGAGGTGGCAATAAATTGAATTGCGAAACGTTTACAAGAAAAACAAGGTGTGTAATTATTTACAGGGATAACTCCTAAGATCAGAAATTTAATAAAATAAAATCATAAATTCCCTGAATGAATTTGTGTTCAAGGAGGTGGCCATCGTTTCTGTAGAAGAAGATGCAACTCCTTCAATATTCCTATTTAAACCACCTTATCCGTGAAGTTAGTTATTGAAAAAAAATCAATTCGAAAATCGTTTGCTGCTGAAGAAATTTTACGGTATTCCCTGGGAATGTGGTTATTCACCTTACGACGAGCTTTCGAAAATAATGAGAAGAACTCTCTTTGGAACTACTATTTTTGTTAAAGGCTACGAAAAAGCAAATTGGTTAAGGTCTTTGATTACCAATGCAAAGTAAATTTATTCTTTCTCACACATATAAAGGATCATATATTGCAACGATTGCCGAAAATCGTTTGGACTCGCGTGAGCAACTAAGCGTGGCTGAGCGTAACAGCCGCGATCGGTTTGAGTTAGAGAGAGAGAGAGAGCGCGTAAGGGGCAATGACCGGGATGGGAGAGTTAGCTAGCCAGTATGATTGTGTCCTTCAGTCCGGCTACATCGTAGTTAACGAGTCAGAGGCAACGACGTGTTCTATTGTTTCTGAGTGAGATCCAGGGATTTGTGTACATTGTTAGTGAGTGTGGAGGTGGGTGTGCACACTGCGCAACGTGTGCATCAACAACTGTCAACAACAATCGGTACGGTGGAACGAGTGCACACGCTGCACAACGTGTGTGACTCCGGCACCGGTAATAACAGCTGCGAGTGGAGTGCCGAGTGCGCACATTGCTGAACGTGTGCGGCCTCGGCAGCAGCGAGCTCAACCTCGGCAGCTTCAGCGGCGACGCAACAACATCAGCGGAGCAGCAGTCGCAGAGGCAGTTCACCGTCAATTAATTTAATCGGATACGGTTGGCCACCGTATCCTCGTAGATTTAGCGGTAGGTGCACAGCATTTTGTAATCGCGTCTAGCGTGCGATCCCGCGCAGCGTGCGCGGTGGATTCATAGTCAGCGAGCGTACGAATAGTCCGCGACGTCTGCGAGATATACTCTCTCTGTCCCCGTTCGAATTACTGTGTCGGAATAGCGTGCGAAAGTCTCTCGGCAAATCCCTCCCTTATATACGTTCTGAGTAAATAAATTGGTTAGAGATCAATACGAAACACTCTCATTATTTTGTCTTCCCTTTGTTCGACATCGGTGTTATTGTTTACGTTTGATTCGAACGCGCCGGTAGTACAGCACGAATCACGAAAGCAACAGGAGAAGCTGCCCGCCAACCGAGTTGTCAGCAGTGGCCGACGGAGCGCTGGTGAGCTAGCGCAGCAGCGCCCCTTGTGGAGAGATCGCGAACCCAGGTTAGATCGGTAAGAGAACTCAGCGCAGGCGCACACCGGGACAAGGTGAGCAAGTGTGCTAGAAGCACACAGTTAACAGTGCACCGTCTGGCTATATTAAGGATTATTATTACCCGGGGTTTGCGGCTAGGAGGTAGCCTGTTAATATATATATATATATATATACACACACACACACACACACACACACACACACACACACACACACACACACACACACACACAGGGTATCCATTTTAAAGGAACCAACCCGAAATTTTCTACGGTTGGCATTCTACAAAAAAATTGTTCAAACAAAAGTTGTTTGGGACAATGAGGGACACCTTTCCCAGAAATCGGATTTGACCGTGAGATTTATTATCAAGATCATTTGATGGTCAAAGTCATTTTTGAATAGGAACCTATAATTTTGATCCCGGATTCGGAAAGAGAGAGAAATTCTACGTTTAGATAAGGTATTATGTGTTCAGATAAGCCAATTAAGTCAAGGTGGGAATGCCCAGCCAATGAAGACAAGACGATGACTACAGATAAAGTTATGGTCAAGGTTGTAACACTAATATTTATCTCATAAAATGTTCAAAAATACCGCCGTTTAAATATATGCAGTGTTGAATTCTACGGTAATGTCACTACCAATGCCTATCCATCGTCTTCAGTATCGTTGGTTCAAAAAGTGACGAACTATTAGTGAGCAATGATACGGTGCACCATCCTGTTGAAGGCATAATCGTCGTCTGGTTTCCAAGTCCATATTTTCCAATAATTCTGGTAATTCATTCTGCAGGATATTATGATAAGCTGCGCCGTTGTCATTCCCATCGAAAAAATAAGGCCCTATCAGATAACCATTTATTATAACGCACCAAACTACGCGGCTCCATCTATGCTGATTATCAACATGACGTATCCAATGAGGGTTCTAGATAGATTAATAATGACTATTATAGTGATTAAGTTGCCCATTACTATGAAATGTAGCTTCGTCCAAAAACATTACGTATCTGAAAAATTCAGGAACTACACGAATCCTTGCTTGTGCCCAATTACAGAATTCGAGTCTGCGGCGGAGATCATTCGACATCAAAGCTTGAGTCAAATTTATGTGATACGGATGAACTCTATGAAGCCGCAAAATTCTACCGGTTGTTATTCTTGGGATTCCAGTAGCTCTCTGAATTTCACGCAAAAAGATATAATGATCCAAATCAACCATTGCCAAAACAACTATAATTCGGTACTAAAGCCTCCCTGGGTAATTTTGAGAGTCAAGGCCGATATCGTTCTGCAGTACGATATTACCATCCAGTTATAGGGTTGGGGGGGGGCAAGATATTACCAGCAAGTTATTGGGTTATTACAATTAATCTTACCCTTATCTGATCATCCCTGTGCATAGATGAAGAAAATAATAAATTTGATCCCTACATGACCTTACGCCCGGAGGGAGGGGTAACCGCACCACACATATAATACCTTATCTAAACGTAGAATTTCTTGCTCTTTCCAAATCCGGGATCAAAATTATAAGTTCCTATTCAAAAAATGACTTAGACCTTCAAATAATCTTGAAAATAAATCTCAAGGTCAAATCCGATTTCTAGGAAAGGTGTCCCTCATTGTCCCAAAAAATTTGTGTCTGAACAATTTTTTTATACAACGCCAACTGTAGAAAATTTCGGTGTGCTTCCTTTAAAATGGGACACCCTGTATAAACTCGTATACAGGATGATTCAAAAACATATGTAACTAATAATTCCATTCGATTCGTCTCGAAAAATTAATTTAGAATTGTGTTCTTAGTTTTTCCATTAAATACTTAGGTAATTAGATAATTAGCTTCAAAGATCGGCCAATCAGCGCACAGCTTTAGAAGAACGGGCGCTTGGTGGCGAGTGCGGAGCAGTGAGGGGGGTCAGGGGCGCGCGCCGCCGCTGATTGCAAGCGGTGCTCAACCCAATCGTGCAACACGGAGCTCCCATGTCTACATACTGATTGAACGCGTATCAATAAAAAGAACGGTTCAATACCGATTGACTAATAACAATGATGTACGTGAAAGCTTTTGCGAAATAGGTTATTTAGTATTCGTGGTCGTCGAATTCAAACTCGCGGTCTTACTTAAGAATTGTAACGAGAGCAGGCCGTTTGCCCGTCTCTCGTCCGCGTTTCTCCCTCCCCCACTCGGCTAAGCGTGGTGGCCAACGTTGGGCGCATTTAAGTATGCGCCTAACACTTGGTCTTTTGTTTCAGCGCCAAGGACGAGCTAGCGCAGTTGAGCGCAAGAAAAGTTGAAGAGCGCGGAGAGAGAGTGAGAAAGAGAGAGAGAAAGAGAGTATTAGGCCTATGCAGGGATTGGCAGGAG